ACACAGCAGGGAGGCTGCCACACAGCAGGGAGGCTGGTATAATAGCAGAACTCCCGACGGTTCATGGGCGCCCAACCTAATGAACATTGTCTCACAGCCAGAAATTTGTGGAGCAATGCCCCTGAAGGCCACTAGAGATTCCCAGATCACAACAGCCACCCCATCTCCCCTGCCCTGGTATCTCGGCTGGTGCCACACCAAGAACCCAGCTGGGCACATTTCTGAGAGGGGCACCCCCCCTCAGGCCCCAGTCAGGTCTCAGTAATGCATGCCAGGTCTTCCCCCTCCTCAGTGATCAAGTCACATATGAGGGGGGCCTTGTTGTTAACCGACCTGGCATTAAGCAGCAGCAGCTTAATATATGTTGAATATATGTAGATATAGATATAGATATATAGAATAAATTATTCATCATTAATCCTTATATGATCCAAGCTGTACAGAGGTTTATGCAATATTTAAAAGGTTAGGGAAGATATTCCCCCATTAAAAATGTTCTTTACTCAGATGTATTCAGCAGAATTCCACAGTAATAGATACACAGCTCAAGTATACAAATAACGTCTCTTTCTCAACTAGTTGATGGTTAAATCCCAGTATGAAAAGCTTGTACAGATAAAAGCATAAATTCATTTGCAAGAACTGTACTCAGTCTACACTGTAGCTCCCAATCAGTTTGTTCCTATATACCCTTCCATGGCTTTCCATCCAATATGCAATAGGTGCAGGAATTCATAATATAAACCTTACAAAGACGTTTGTAGACAGGCAAACCTTGTTCACTTTATCAACTTTATCAACAGACAGCATGAATAAACTCTTTTTTCACATAGAATAATGTAGGAAAGAAGAGAAATGTTAGATGAAGAAACAAGTACAGACTACTAATAGCATCTGGACACACAAACACTATGCATAGAGTAATTATACATAAAAGAGGAGTCAAGTTGCATTTGCCTGAATCTCAACTTGAACTTGATTTAAGTTAGTCCATTTCATTGCTTTCGGCCATTACTGGAAAACAAAACTGTTGAATTCCCTAGAAGCAACTCAGCACCCTTTATGCATCTCTCAAAAAATCACTGCCATAGCTATGGAAGGCTATCATACAGGCACCCCATTGATGCCATTCATTTATTGAGCTTACTTAGCACAGTAACATTTAAAATAAATTTAGCACACCTTAGCATACATTTTAACAGGCCAACTTCTCTAATTTAGACATGTGCTATTACTTACTAGAAGCATCAGAGAAATGCTGTGATCAAAAAAAGGAATTTATCAGTTCAAACAACTCTTGATACATGTGGAACACTGTAAAATATTCCTGCCTCTAGTAATAACTTCTGTTCACATGGTACAAATTGTTTCCTGATTCAGAGAAAGGAAGATAGATTTGGCTAGGTATATTACTAATAAGAATTCCAGTTTAATAGAGCATGTGTTTAACCATTTTTTCCCCTTCAGCTTGCAACATGTATACATTTAACATGCATAGCATCACATTAATAACACTATGATTATGGACTCTATTCAGAGAAATGAAGGATTATTCAATTTACAAAACACCTGCTTAATTAGTTGAAAATGTCCCTACTGATCACTTGATAGACACTGTGTTATTATTTTATCCATAATATCAACAAGGTCCCAGAAAATAATTCATCAGGTATTTCTGAGGTTTTTTTTAAGTAAGTGTTTTAAAATAGATGAATTTATAGATGAATTGAGTATTATACACAGCCTAATCTTGAATAAAAGAACAGACGAGATACTGCAAATTATACCTTCTCTGAATTCATATTACATCTAAGGTTGTATTTTTTTTACTAATTAGATAGTTATTTATTTTTCAGTTTTTATAGCCCACTCTAATCAAAAGACTTCGGGCAGGTTACAGCACAGTAAAAGTTACAAAAAACAACAATAATAAACCAACCCTCCAAATTACAACAGCACTTAGCTAGGATTGAAGGCCTTTTGAAATAAAGTTTGTCTTCAAAGGTCTTATTGATTTATTTTTATTTAATTTATAATACCGTCCAATGCTACAACTTTGGATGGCATACAAGAAAAACTCATACAATACAGTTTAAAAAAACCTCAAACAGTGGAAGAAAAATAACCATTAAAGAGAATCAAGCACACAGAACCTGCTACCTGCTCAACCCAAGGCTTGGGGAAACAGCCTGCGTTTCAGAGCTCTTTGAAGCCAGGATGGGGGCTTGACATATCTCAGGGGGGATGGTATTCCAGAGGGCAGGTGCTATGACAGAGAGATCTTCTAAACATCATGAAGAAGGGGCTTTAATAACCTTTGTGGACAAAGAATTTCAAAGTGCAGGGGCCTATCACCTCAACTATATCCCACTGCCTTCAGACAGAGGGGGACTCTTAACAGGACTTGCTAAGATGTTCTCATTGGGTGGGCAGGGTGATATAGCCTGGTGCTATGCCATATTTGTAGGTCCCGGCATTTTGAATGAGGATGGGAAGCTTATTAGTAGCCAGTACAGTAAGTTCAGGGGAGGTATCATTGTGCAATAGTGGGGGAAATCCTATTGCCACATGTGGGTCATCTCTAAAGGCTGCCCCACATAGAGCACATTACAATAATCCAGCTGGATGGTGATCAAGCCATAACACCAAGGAGTCCTGGTCCAGGTAGTCATAACTGGCCTACCAGCCAAAGCTGGCAAATGCTCTCCAGCCATAGCTTCCATCTGCTATTTAACAGTAGCTATTAAGTCTAGGTGGACTCCAAGTCATGCACCAAGGGGAATATGTCACCATCCAGAGTAACTACTGAAATTGATGTTCCTGGATATTTACTACTGTACAGCAACTCAGTACTGGAGGGTTTTAATCTGATCTTATTTTGCCTCATCCAAAATGACAGACAGTTGAATATTTCCACAGTATTTCTAGCTTGGTTTGAGGTGGCAGAGTACACCTGAGTGCATCAGTATACTGATGTCAAGTCAACCTGAACTTATGGATGTCCTCTCCCACTGGAGGTCACATTTCATCTAGATTTCAACATTTTCCATATAGGTGTTAATTGATTATGTTCCATCAAGTCGTTGTTGACTCTTAGCGACCACATAGATTTTCTCCATGATCTGTCCCTAGTCTGGCCTTTCAGGTTCTCCAATGATGCATTCATTGCCATTGTAATTGAGTCCACCCACCTTACTGCTGGTCATCCTCTTCTTCTCTTTCCTTCCACCATTCCCAACTTTAGAGCCTTCTCCAGAGAATTAGGTCTTCACATGTTGTGTCCAATATAGGATCATTTGAGCCTGGTCATTTGTGCCTTGAGTGAGAACTCTTGTCCAATGATCCATTTGTTTCTTTTCTTGGCTGTCCACAGTATTCTCAGGAGTCTTCTCCAACATCAAAGTTCAAAAGCATCAGTACTCTTCTACCTATCCCGCTTCTTCAAAGTTCAACTTTTGCTTCCATGAATGTCATAGGAAATACAGTGGCTTGCACAATTCTGATCTTTGTAGGTATAGACACATCATGGCATTTGAATATCTTTCCCATGGCTGCTCTACCAAGTGCTTGTGGTTTATTTCTTGACTCTTGTTCCTTTACTGTTGATGGTTGATCCTAAAAAGCAGAAGCTATCCACTACTTCAATATCTTAATTGTCAATTCTAAGGCTGTTTGTTGCACCTGTTGTCATTAATTTGATCTTCTTTAATTTTAATAGGTGCTAATAGCATGGGAGAAAGGGCTAAGCCCTAAGGTACTGCATGCTGGAATAACTAAAGCCTTAAGCGCTTTTCCCCCTTAACTACAAACTGAAATTGCTCACACAGATGTAACTACTGCAGAACAGCACCTCCGACTACCAATCCTCACAAGCAGTCTAGTAAGGTACCATGGTCAATAGTACTAAAGGCCACCGAGAGGTCTAACAGAACCAGGAGAGGTGTCCTCTATTCAGATCCTGATGAAAGTCATCCACCAGAGAACCAATGTCATTTCCATCTTATGACAGAGTCTGAATTCTGATGGCAGGGCTTCAGATTTCATGGGGACTATCTAATGCTGAGCTGCCAGAACCAGGAGAGGTGTCCTCTATTCAGATCCTGATGAAAGTCATCCACCAGAGAACCAATGTCATTTCCATCTTATGACAGAGTCTGAATTCTGATGGCAGGGCTTCAGATTTCATGGGGACTATCTAATGCTGAGCTGCCACCACTTTCTCAATTAAAAAAAAGCTGAAAAGAATCCAGATGACATCATAAGATATAGCCCTGCTTACTACATTGGATTGTATCCAACTTTCATCCAGCCTGAGCAAATAAGGACAACTTTATTTGTCCAAAAACTTGCACAACCATTCTGTGAAACTGCCAGGGTCTTACCCAGCCCATCCTTCTCCAACATGTATAGGTAACTGAACATGGCTGCCAAGCAGAACTCTGCAAATACAATTAACATGGAGAAGAAATGATGCTTCAGTCTTATTGCTATTGTGTAAGCTCAATGGTGAGTTTTTACCAATATCTGGTCACATTCACTTTTCTTCCCCCACTTCTCTGTGGGTCTTTTCAATCACTTTGTTTTCCTGAGTTCCTCAGTTTAAAAAAAAAAAAAAAAA